ACTATAAATAGGACAACTTTCAGAATAAAATTAGTGATTTGTGCCTTCATTAACATAATTTCAAACTATCACTAAGCAATCTGGAATGCATATACTTTTTAAATTTTTTGCCCTTAAACCATATATAATAATTCTTGAAAGACAAGGTTGGTTTCTTAAGTAATGTCGAAGATAAGCAAGTTCAAGAGTTGTAGTGGTTAAAAGATGTAAGAGATTTGTTGTTGAAATTTTCTGCAATAACACAGAAGATTTTTGTTGCCTTTGATCTAATCTTTTGATCTATGGCATTGTTAGAAAACTCGAGTGAGGACAAATGAGTCCTGGCTTGCTGGTGACAAGTAATGGTTCAGAGTAACACCAATCCTGTATCTATGAAATCTGAGTTAGCAACAAACAGGCCATTTCAACAATTATTCCACTTAATCAAATGACTTTAGGAATCCTCCCCAAAGCATTGTTATCTGTATACTGATATGTCATAAATGAAATGAGATTTTCCCAAGATAGACTGATCTCCAGTTGGTGTTGTCCAGAATTCTTTATTATTTTGGTTTATATAGCAGTATCATCTGCTGTGGTGCTCTACAAATGAATACAAACAAAAAAGGGAAGTACAGGTAAAACAAAATATAAAATATTCCAAAAGATTAATACAAATTCGTTTTTTATCAAAACAGAAATAACAAGAAATAATATCAGAAGAAGGTCCTGCCTATGTGTATATGTTAAGAGTTTAGATAATTGTGACCATACATTCCTTAGGGTGGGTACAGATAGACTGAAATTCTGTCAGTGCAGTAAGGAATGGCTGAATATGATATGTGTGTGGCCCTCTCTTTTTTGCAGAAGTTGATCATTAGATCAACTTCTGTTGAATGGCAACACTGGAAAACTTTCAGCCTTAGGGTGGGTACAGTTAGACTGAGATTCTGTCAGTGCAGTAAGGAATGGCTGAATATTATATGTGTGTTACCCTTTCTTTTTTGCAGAAGTTGATCATTAGATCGACTTCTATTGAATGGCCACACTGGAAATTGGCTGAAGCTGCTGATTAGTGTATCCTGACAGTAGAGAGTCCCCACTGACATAATACAATGTCAGAGTGAGGAGCGTTCCTCCATATACTTTGCTTTTGTGGATGGGGAATCCATTCCTTTTTTTTTGTTCAGCCCAATGGCTAACGAAAAAAAAAAAAAAAAATAAGCGTGTATACCCAGCTTTATTGTTGCATTTCAATGAACTTCTGCAGAGCTTTAATTATTTGCAGGTTCCATGTTTATGTTATTAGGGAACATGCAGTTCAGTGATCTTACTTGTCTAAACTTAAAGCAGAGTTCCAGTTGCACTGTGAAAAAATAAAAGTCAGCAGCTACAAAAACTTTTAAAAAACAGCCACTCACCTGTCCTACGATCCCACGGTGTCCTCCCCGCAGCCCGTTTCACCAGCCGTCTGGTGTTCCAGGTGCCGGCATCTTGAGTGTGGGCACTCAGAGGTGACAGCTTGCTGCTTCACAGCCAGGTGCCCACTACGCATGCGTAAGTAGCGCTGCGCTTCCTGAATTGCCCCGTAGTCTTATGGAACATGTCATGTGTCCCAGAAGACTACGGGGAAGGAAGGAAGGAGGAAAACTTCCGCTTCCAATCACCTAGGTGATTACAGTGGAAGTGGGAGTGGGTACCTGTAAATTCTGGGTTCCCACTCCCCAAAGGTGCCAATCCTTAATGGGGAGCAGGAGACCAGTCTTTAAAGTGGAACTTCCACTTTTGAGTGGAGCTCCACTTTAAACACGGATTTATTTTTATAGTTCATCTGACTTTCAGTCTAATTCAGCAACATATATTACAGCCACATGAAAACAAAAAGTGTGCACAGTCTTACAGATTATTTTATTTACAAAACTGCCACAATAAAAAAAACAGTGTCCTCTGCCAGCATGCTGTAGAAAAGGACCCTTGCTTTCTGTGTACAAGCTTTGGCCTTTCTGCAGAGGACTGACAAGTCTTCTCCTGAGTCAAAGCTGTAGCTCTTGAATTAGAAGGGAACATAATCTTTGCTCATCTGGGAGATTTAAGTCTAATCAGCAGGATGCATACCAGACCTCTGCAGAGAGACCACTGCTTCCTTGTGAAAATAAGAGGCATTCTCTGCAGAATAGTCAGGGTGCAAGATTTTCTACCCAGACTGTTGCTTCTTCTCTGAAGAAAATTACATTTCATCACAATAAATCATATTCATCTGATTAAGAGTTTTTCACACTTTGCTTAAGTTTGGCAATACTTGATAACTTTCATCAAATTAATTCTTCTATTAACTCTGTGGGACACACAAAACTGTGTGTGATGGTCTCATGTGATTTACCCTTCACTTTTAGCATTTGCAATGTATTCATTCCAATTTCATATACTGACCTTGCTGAGATGTACAGTTCTAGCCTGTCCATACTAGATCTTTTTTAACTATCAAAGTCCAGCTACACAGACTTTCCCCTAACCTGTGACCTTGGCTCCATTCCCAGACTGGTTCTTTTTCTCTAGTGAATTCTTTGCTATGAAATGCAATTAGCACGTTTTTTTCATTTGTGAATTAACCCAATAGCCAATTTTGATTTGTGAGCTCTATGTAACAATCGTTAAAGCTTTAATTCTAAATGTATAAAGTTATAAATAAAAAAATAGATACAGAATAATGTTATTTAATCATGCTCCAAACATAGACAAAATTTTCTTTACTTCTTACTGTTATGAAACCACAGGGTCTATTTTGGTTTGGACTGTGAAAATACTTTTAACCTGTGCTGCCACAAGAGCATCAGTTAAATATTAGTGCTGCGGTGCATTTTATAACCACATTCCACACTGCCATGCAGCTTGACTTATATATTTTTTCTTTCTTACTGTATATAAGAATCTAATTTTGTCCATTCTTATGGGTGATTTTTTTTTTTTTCGTAAGCAATATGATTACTAACATTCACTTACAGTATGTAGCTAAGACCATATAAAGACCTGTAACAAAAGCACTTTTGCTATATGATGTGTAAATTCTCTATATTTTGTATTGTGATGGAAGAGAGATAAGCAAACATCTTCCATTTTAAATCCCAACCCAGGTCCAGATCCAAGGTTACATAGACACCCAGCCTTGCAGGCTACTTTGGAATTACATTGACTGCTGTTAATTATGGGCTCACAGAACCTTACACATAATTGCCATTCTCCTCCTTCAAATTATTTTTATTTTTAATAATCACTGCTGTTGGCCCACTATCATGTAAGCTGAGTAGAACATTAGTGGGCAGTTTGGTTATGCGGCTGGAGCTGCACCCATACCCCATGTGGAAACATTATATTCAATATCTAAAAAAAGGAAATAACACTATATAGGGCTATTACGAAGTGTGTTTACCTTTTGTTAAATATTAAAAAGTTTGTGACATCTTGGGAGGTGGGTAGTTTGGTGGGTCCATCCTTTGTGGGGGTTGGCTTTAAGCATTATGATAGAAATAGGGGACGATTGACAACTATTGGCCTGGGAAGCACACACAATTATCTAGTTCATTTATATCAGGTACAGACATCAGAGCTGATGGGGCTGGAAGACTTCCTGCTGCCACAAGTTGTGTTTACAGGTCTAAAAAAAATTATTTTATCTTGCACACAATTGGATGATGGAAGTTAGCAGAACTTCAACTCATTCATATAAGCTAAGGAAAAACTCCCTTGTAAAGTGAGCATTCTCTTTCAAAGTGTACACCCTGTTTACCTTTATTAAATTAACCCCAATTTGTAGCTGACTGCTGAATTCACTCTGATTTATGTCTGAATGGTGAACTATCTTCACACAGAACAACTAACCCAATATGTCTTTCTAGTACTTGCCCAAGGAGCAAATGCCCACAACCCCAGTTTTTCTCCACTGTAGAGAGTCAGCCTTAGGCAGTTTAAGAGGTTGTTAATTGTAGAGGGCAGGTACTTTCCCTTCAGGCCTATTTATTAGCAAGCTGATTAAAGAGGCTGGTTGATGGTAACTTTGTTGTCTGCTGTGAGGAGATCTGAATGCAGCCTAGAAGTCTCCATAGCTTGACTTTTACCTGCTGGATGAGCTTGTCTCTAAAGGGAACTTGGAAATACTGTGTGTGCTGAGGCTGGAACACTTGATGTAATGTATATGAGACTGTGTATTGCACTGATGGGAAGAATTACCTGTCTTGCTTGAGCTGAATCTGAAGACAAAGCCTGTCACTTTTCTGTTTATGGATTTAATAAATAAATAAAAATAAAGTGGATTTTAGGTTTACTGGACTGTCTGGCAAGAGCCTGTTTACCTCTCTGATCCTGACACCACTACTAAGAAAATATAGGGCAAACATAGGGCACCTTCAAGCTGCCTTCACATTCTTCCCAAAACTACTTTTAATTGTAATAACCAGCTAACCCCAGAAGGGAAAGAAACTTAAATTTTTCCTGAACTATAAAAAGCCTTCTGACTCCTCTCAGCATCTCCTACACCCCATTCCCCCTACAGTTATCTTAAAGAATTTAGTCAGAAGTGTATAAAAGTGGAAAGAAAATGTAAACAAACAAAATAAATTCTGTGGGGTTTAGTGCTGCGCCTCTGTTTCCTGTTGCTCTTGGAACAACAAGTACAATTATGGTAAATTCAGCCCTGTCTTTATTTTAATATTATTATTATTATACAGGATTTATATAGCGCCAAAAGTTTGCACAGCGCTTTACAAAATGAAGGTAGACATTACAGTTACAATACAATTTGGTACAAGAGGAAACAGAGGGCCCGGCTCGTTAGCGCTTACAATCTAGGAGATATTTTATAATATATGATAAAAAAAAGCAGAAGCTATTATAAGATTTTTCTGTCTCTTACTTCTGACATTTTGGCCATAATGGAATACATGACTATTTCACCAATGCAGTAATACTATATTTGAATTGTTTGTAATTATATTAGCTGCACCTCTAAATCTCGTTTATTTTTTTAGGCGTTCAGTTCACCTTTCACACCTTTCATCTGGAAGATCTTCATGACTACTTACTAATTACCGAAAATGGTAGCTTTACCCAGCCTCTGGCACGGCTCACCGGCTCTGAACTCCCTGCAGCAATTAATGCTGGTCTCTATGGAAATTTCAGAGCTCAGTTGCGATTTATTTCTGATTTTTCAATATCATATGAAGGATTCAACATTACCTTTTCTGGTAAGGAAATTGTCAGCATACACTTCAAAATTTAATAATTGTCTTTCCTTTTCAGTAGTGATAAAGGAATAAGTTTAATAAGTTAAAAAACATTTATCTTTGTTTAACTGAACTTTTATGGTCTCTAGCATTAATAAGACAGATTCTTCTATGTAATAATTACACCACTCCATCTAGATATATAAAAATGCTGTATGCATAGGATGAAATGGTATGTAAACCCAAACTTTAAAATACTTCATATAGTTTCTCTCCTCTATTAGATGTTGTGAGTTTAATTATAGTGTTCTGTACGTTTACTTACCATTATTTTTACCTGGTGATTTTGCAAGTAAGAATGTATAAATATAGTATGTCAAAGAAGGCTTTATAAACTCTAATAACCTGTGTACTTTAAGGTTCCTGAATAAGACACATGGCCATAATTCAAAGCTAAACTCTGTCAATCCTACCCGAACTAAACCAGGCCTTCACCCCTGTGCTCCAGCGGTCTTGAAAATGGTCTGTTCCTGATGTCAGTGTGCTCAAAGCCTGCTCCATATGCATTAACAATCCACCGCTGGACCATGGGACAGTGCAGTTTTCCACACGATCATCACACAACTTTGTGCTCATCCCCTCATTAAGCAAAGAGAAAAGCCAGCACTCTGGTGTATACTCTGCAATTTTGTCTTTATTAGCAAGTAACAGATGACAGCCACAAATGTCAATGCATTTCAGCCAAACTAGCCTTATTCGTGCCTCTGCTAGAGCATCAGTGGTAAAGCCAAATTATAACAATGGAAGGTAATAGTACCTACTTTCATGTATTTGGGCTCATTCCCTGACTGCATGGGAAAAAAAATTGCCCGTAGCTGGGTTTTAAGATTGGACAATACAAGGTTTAATCTTAAAAAAAGGAAGACATTCCTTACTTTTAGAACAGTAAAAATATGGAACTCTCTTCACCAGGATATAGGTTGATCCAGGGATTTATCTAATCACCAGTATAGGTTAAGAAAATAGTTTTTTGTCTTCCTCTGGATCCAACACTCCCCTTCACTCTTTCACACATTAAACTTGGTAAAATTGTGCCTTTTTTCATGTCATCTACAAATGAACTATGCAGTGTTTCTTCTTACTTCTTTTCCTAAGGCCATCTTGTCACACAAGGGTGACAATGCTGGTCCTTCTTACAAAGACTCTTGGGGAGCATTGTCAACCTAAGTTGTTGCTCCCTCTCTGTACTACAAGCTGGTGTGTTGACACATTCTGCATCCACTTTTTTAGTCTGATTTCCTTATAGGACAGTATGGGGTGCATGGTCCAGGATAACCTGGATATGTCATTAATAAAGGACAAAGCAGAAAATAGCACCAAGAGCCATGGAGGTGTGCAGTATGTAAAATGAAAAAAAAAAAAACAAAACACAGCAATTCACTCTTTATCTCCACAATTCAATTCACTGCTAAGAGAATGAAAGAAAATAGAGTTGGCTGAATAAAACTGGAGAATGCAACATCTGGTGCAGCTCTTCATAGAAACAAATCAGCTTCCAGTTTATTTATTTATTTTTATTCATTTTTTCACATCTCAATTTTGAACAATCTGAAGTTGGAAGCTGATTAGCTATCATACCACTGCTGCAGTAGATTATGCACTCTCCAGTTTTAGTAAATCAACCCAAATGAGTTATAACTGGTCTTATGCACACATCTCAGTATTTGTCCCACATTGTTATAACTATTTAGGCTTGGTTATAAACATTTTAAACCCCTATTTAGCTTTGCTTGCTGTGCCTTAATCTGATTCTTCATCTAGAGTGTCAGTGATTAGAAGCTTTCTGATATCTGGCAACTGTCTTACCTGACTGCCTAGCAGTAAAATATCCCAATCCTTAAAAAAAATTTGCTTGCTTTTGGCATTTCCATAAAAATTATATAACTTAAGTCTAGATATGCAAATATATATTTTAGTGCATGAAGGTAATGTATACATTTTAGTATAAATAATCATAATATTATAAATAAGATGTCCAACAATATATAAATGGTATGTTTATTATATTAGAATACAGCTTAGAACCATGTGATGATCCAGGAATTCCACAATATGGAAGAAGGCATGGCAACCATTTTGGAGTTGGAGATATCATAACATTTACATGTTCATCTGGATATCGCTTGGAAGGAGTATCGGAAATTGTTTGTCTTGGCGGTGGGCGTCGTGTGTGGAGTGCACCTCTGCCAAGGTGTGTGGGTACGTGGTCAGCTGCTTTCATTTGCTTGTCTGTGTAGTCACTGTTCAGAGATGTTATGCAATTTTATTCTGCTGTTTTCACTTTTCTTTAAATTACTCTAACCAGTCTATAACATTAACTATAACTTTAATTATTGATTTCATGGGTGGGATCCTGTTTAAAGTTTATCTCTACACAAAACTGATATTTTAGGTATATTGCTGGTTTGAAACGTCATTGAACAGAATCTCACGATTGGAATCTGTGAGAAATATAAGCAACCAACATGTGATTCAATAGGCCAAACTAATCAATTTTAGCATTGTTGGCCTTTTAATGCAGACAATCATAATAAAAAAAAAAACCTTTTAAAAATAGTTACCATTCCTTAAAAAAATAAGCTGCTTCGATATTGTGAAACTACTATAAAAGATTATTACATCTAGATTTTTTAAGCTGCAATCATCTAAATATCTTACTGCTTTGATTTGTGCTTTTACCTGACACGTGTATCTCTAGCCAAACATTTTTTCTTCATTTTGGAGATATTTATTCTCACTTCCTTGTTGGGGGCAGGAAATGAAGGAAAATCACCCAATGGGACATAGACAGAAATAAAGATCTGTTATGCATTCTAACCCTATTCTATATAAGACAAAAACATGGTAATAGAAACACTTTTAGTTTATCGAATGTCTATATGGAGAGAAAGAGAGAGAGAGAGAGAGAGAGGTTTTGAAAGATAGGTAGACAGATGAACAAAAATAAATGGAAAAATAATCCAAATGTTAATCCATGTGGAAGTAGAAGTGAGAGTGGTACTAAAGTAAAAAGAACAAAATGAAATCCTCCCTCTGCCCCAGGTGCTGAGATGGACAAATGCATTTAAATTATTTTTCTGGCATAAAGCATTTATAATGTAATGCTACAAAACAAACAAATGCTATTTTTTCAAGTTTACATGTGTACTGTAAACAAAATAGCAACCAAGCTAAGGAAAGAAGACAAAGAAAGTATTATAAACGGTAGCTTGGGTTAACAAGGGATTACACTTTAATTTATTTATTTTAATAGGTTTAAAGTTCACACAGAAAATTAATAGATGAATAATGACCATACCTGTAACTGTAACCTTCGTTCATATATTAATGAACAGCAGGCCTGAGTTATCACATTGAAAACCTTGCACTACAGATTATTCTGGGAGATTTGCTCTCCCAGTGAAATCAGTGAGGATCTGCTGTCCATGAGATAGCTGTCCTCTGCACTCTGAAAATATATGCTAATAAATGACCCCCTCCTTCAGAGAACCACCAGCCTACACTTCTCGTGTTTGGTGGATCTGAATCCTGGCTATCATTGGCAACTTGGTTTTCCATCGATGATCAGGGACCCACCAGAGTTGCAGGCTGAAGGCTTCACTGAGAAAATAAAAGCCTTTAACTGCAAAATAAAATAAAATAAATAATAAAACATAAATTTTTTTTTATATTTAGCACATTTGTCAGTCTAAAAAAAGGAAACAGGGCTGTTATTAAAACAGTGTACCAAATAAAGCCATATATGTCCTTTAAGTATAAGTATACTATTAGATATGAAATTTAATCATAAAGTGCATGCAACTAAATTTAGTCTGGGCATCTAGACATCAATGCCCCATGCTCATAAAAGGGTCAAACTATGACATCAAAGTTTCCAGTCATGCTATTTTTTTCCCCTTTAAATTAAAAAATGTTGTAATTGTACTCAACTTTACATTGTTGAATTATGTTGACAATGGCAAACTGTTGTTTTATTGCTATTAATTCTGTAATAGGAAACTAATTTGTCAAGATGAATATCATGGGTTTGCTCACAGCAGGGTAGGTAGACTTTTCAAAACCATATATAAATAACCTGTCACAATCCTTTTTGACCTCAGTTAAAAAAAAAATCACTAAACGGTCCCACGGGCAAGTCATCGTAGATTAGAGACTTAAACCTAAATGTACTTAAAACGGAAGCAGTGAAATAAAGTTAGTGTTTTCAAAGCACTACAGAGTCTGTGACATCAAGAAAGTTGAGCTTGAGGCATTATGTACCTTTGCTTGATCGTTACTTCCCAGTAATCATTACAGTGTAGCCGTGGTGTGAGGAAAATGTCAAAATCGGTAATGTTCAGTTATATTGGATTTTAAATTCTTTATTGTTGTTAGTCCAGTCTGGCTGTACTGTACTGGACTGTACATCCACAAATGTATTAATATAGATTGGAATAGTATCTGTACAGATCAACCAGTTGGGCAAATTTCCAGGACTCCTGAAAAATTATCAATAAATGCTGATTTTTTTTTTTTAATACCTGGAAAAAAAATGTACAAAGGTTAAATAATACTTTATGCAAAATATAAATGTAGAGAAGTTGAATTAGACATTATGACAACTTTTACCAATTATATAATTGGTGCATTTTGCAATTCTATTTTCTTTAGCTTTGCAGTAATCCAGAATATTTTGTGGTCCACAAGCTCTATAGTTTATTTATTTTTATTTATTTTAGGTACTTATATAGCGCCATACACACACACACACACACACACACATATACAGGTGAAACTCGAAAAATTAGAATATCGTGCAAAAGTTCATTTATTTCAGTAATGCAACTAAAAAGGTGAAACTAATATATGAGATAGACTCATTACATGCAAAGCAAGATAGTTCAAGCCGTGATTTCTCATAATTGTGATGATTATGGCTTACAGCTCATGAAAACCCCAAATCCACAATCTCAGAAAATTAGAATATTAGAAGATGCAATATTCTCGGCTCAAAGTGTCCCACTCTAATCAGCTAATTAAGCCATAACACCTGCAAAGGGTTCCTGAGCCTTGAAATGGTCTCTCAGTCTGGTTCAGTAGGAATCACAATCATGGGAAAGACTGCTGACCTGACTGTTGAGAAAACCATCATTGACACCCTCCATAAGAAGGGAAAGCCTCAAAAGGTAATTGCAAAAGAAGTTGGATGTTCCCAAAGTGCTGTATCAAAGCACATTAATAGAAAGTTATGTGGAAGGGAAAAGTGTGGAAGAAAAAGGTGCACAAGCAGCAGGGATGACTGCAGCCTGGAGAGGATTGTCAGGAAAAGGCCATTCAAAAGTGTTGGGGACTTTCACAAGGAGTGGACTGAGGCTGGAGTCAGTGCATCAAGAGCTACCACACAGACGGATCCTGGACATGGGCTTCAAATCTTGTATTCCTCTTGTCAAGCCGCTCCTGAACAACAAACAACGTCAGAAGCGTCTTACCTGGGCTAAAGAAAAACAGATCTGGTCTGTTGCTCAGTGGTCCAAAGTCCTCTTTTCTTATGAGAGCAACTTTTGCATCTCATTTGGAATCCAAGGACCCAGAGTATGGAGGAAGAATGGAGAGGCACACACTGCAATGCTTGAAGTCCAGTGTGAAGTTTCCACAGTCTGTGTTGATTTGGGGAGCCATGTCATCTGCTGGTGTTGGTCCACTGTGCTTCATTAAGTCCAGGGTCAACGCAGCCGTCTACCAGGAGATTTTGGAGTACTTCATGCTTCCTTCTGCAGACGAGCTTTATGGCGATGCTGACTTCATTTTCCAGCAGGACTTGGCACCTGCCCACACTGCCAAAAGCACCAAAACCTGGTTCAATGACCGTGGGATTACTGTGCTTGATTGGCCAGCAAACTCGCCTGACCTGAACCCCATAGAGAATCTATGGGGCATTGCCAAGAGAAAGATGAGAGACATGAGACCGAACAATGCAGAAGAGCTGAAGGCAGCTATTGAAGCATTCTGGTCTTCCATAACATCTCAGCAGTGCCACAGCCTGATAGCTTCCATGCCACACCGCATTGAGGCAGTAATTGCTGCAAAAGGGGCCTAAACCAAGTACTGAGCACATATGCATGATTATATACTTTTCAGAGGTCCGATATTGTTCTATGTACAATCCTTGTTTTATTGTTTTATTGATTGCATTTTCTGAGATTGTGAATTTGGGGTTTTCATGAGCTTTCATCACAATTATGACAAATCACAGTTTGAACTTTCTTGCTTTGCATGTAATGAGTCTATCTCATAAATTAGTTTCACCTTTTAAGTTGCATTACTGAAATAAATGAATTTTTGCACGATATTCTAATTTTTCGAGTTTCACCTGTATATATATATATATATATATATATATATATATATATATATTATCAGGAAGTAGTTTCTCTTTAACTCAAGGGACGTGGCAACATCATATAGGTCATAAGAATGCCAATATAATGTTGTTTGGATGTCATGTGGTTGGCGATTACAATGTAAGGTTAATATTTTCGAACAAAAATGGATGACATTGATGTCATCACCTGTTATATTAGATTATGCCTTATTTGGGCAACTTTGATATAAATGTAGGACAACTGGCTTACTTCTATATAATAAGCATATACAAACTAAGGGCAGAGGATCAGAAAGGGAAGATGAGTGGTATGGAGGACAATGTGAAGAGAATGACCTACTATCCTGACCTGCTCCCACTCATATCAACCATACACATATGTGCCGTATATAATTGAACCACTTGACAGGTCCAAGAGAATGATGCCCTCACTCCAGCTTTAGGGAAGACATGTTTGAAAGGTTGTAAAGAAAACAGGGAGATATAAACTAGTTTCACATAGCAACTTCAGCCACTTCCAGTCTACTGAGAAATGAACACATGATTAAGGTGGTTGCCTGAAATTAAGTAATTGACAAACCGCAGATTTGATGGACCACCTGTATTTGAAATGTATTGAAACAAGAAAAAAAACTACAGAAATATCACCAAATGTGTTCATTTTTTTCAGCCGTGTTTGATTGAGGCAATTTCAATCCCATCTCCATGAGGCGAATACCAACTTTCTTTGTCAAATGTATTCAAATCGATTTGAAAGGACTATCACTTGATCAAATTTCCACATGTATAGCCAGTTGAAGGATCCTAACACTCTCAACCCAAACATGGCTG